CCTGCACGTGCAGGTGCTGCGAGAAGGAACCAAGAAGACTGTTTTCGGCAACTTCATGGACCTCTGTAAAACGCACATGAGCAACCTCTTGCCCCCATGCCCATTCCCATTATCCCCCATCTCCCCACCCACACGTGCAGGTGCTGCGAGAAGGAACCAAGAAGACTGTCTTTGCCAACTTCATGGACCTCTGTAAAACGTGAGTAGCACATGCAGCACCAATGCGTGCCTCCCCCCTCCCTCCCCCCCCAACCCCCCCACCCCACTTTCCCTCTCCACCCCCCCCCCCCCCTCCCCATCCACAGCCGAATCCTCTTTCTCAATGCCTCCTGCTGCATGCATGATCGTCATTATGGCCCCTTTTGTGCTTTTGTAAACATGTTGGTCATTATCGTCGATCCATCCTTCTTCATTAACACACGTCCCCCTGCATGCATGGAGGTGATTTGTAAGGCGCCTTTAAAATCTCTTCATCGACACACACTGCCCAGCATGCATCGGCAGCCGGAGCACGTGATGTTGCTCCTCCTGGCGGGAGCTGGGAACCAGCAGGTCTCAGACCTCCCCTTCGTCACCATTCTTGACACCTCTTCACCTCTTTGTACCCCTTTTCACAATTCTGTACCCCTCTTAACCGCACTCAACCCTTCCCAGCATGCATCGGCAGCCGGAGCACGTGATGGCATTCCTCTTGGCTGAGCTGGGAACCAGCGGGTCTCTGGACGGGCAGCTGCGGCTGATCGTGAAGGGGCGATTCGCGCCCAAGAACTTTGAGGGAATTCTGAGGCGATACGTCAGTAAGTGCTAGTGCTATAAATGATGGACAGTTTGGGTTGATAGAGGTGCAGAGGTAGCAGACTCCCAGCAGCGGCTGATCGTGAAGGGACGATTCGCACCCAAGAACTTCGAGGGAATTCCGAGGTGATACGTCAGTAAGTGCTGCTATAGACTCCCATTTGGCTCTTCGCCAAGATCCCGACGGTGTTATAGCTTCCTTCCTACCTCCCAAAGGTCCCTTCTACCCCCCTCTCCAAACCCTGCCCTTGTTTTTCCACTCTTCTCCCCTCACACCGCCCCCCCCAACCCCCCCTGTCACCTGACGAGTATGTGCTGTGCAACGGCTGCAAGTCTACCGATACCATTCTCTCCAAGGTGAACCGACTCGTTTTCACTTTCCACCCCCCCCAACATTCCACCCCCGCAACCCTCCCCCCCCCCCCCCATCAGACGAGTATGTGCTGTGCAACGGCTGCAAGTCTCCCGACACCATTCTCTCAAAGGAGAACCGACTCTTCTTCCTGCGATGCGAACAGGTACAATTGTCAGTTTGGTCCTGGAGTTTACCTGGTTCACAAGTGCCTAATAGGTCATGCTTCTGAGAATGTGTCAAAGTCTGTTGCTGCTGCCCTTGCGTCCAGCACCACCCTCCACCCCTGCTGTCTCCGCTGCCCCCTCTCGCCTCTGCCGCCCTCTGCTCAGTGTGGCGCGCATTGCTCTGTTGCACCCAGCAAGGCTGCTTTGTGTTTCAAGCTAGGTTGCACAAGCCTGCTCCCACCCTGCTGCTCCCCTGGCCCCTTCCCTCTGTCTCCCTCCCCGCGGTGTGGTTCGCATTGCTCCGTCGCACCCATCAAGGCTGGTTTCGTGTTTCAGGCTAGGTTGCGCAAACGGGCTCCCCTCTCTCATCTCACTTCCCTTACCTCCCCCCCACACTGCTGCTCCCCTGGTCCCTTATCTCCTTCTCCCTCCCCACAGTGCGGTTCGCATCGCTCCGTCGCACCCATCAAGGCTGGTTTCGTGGCTCGGGTCGGCCGGCGCAAGGCTGTCAAGGCCTGAGTGCATACTTGGTCGCCCATGCAGCATGCGGTGTTTTACTAGTAGCAAGGAACTGTTCCTTTTTCAAGTATCAAACTCGACTAGAAAGTTGTGCGATGGTTTTCTGGTGGTGGGAGTGAGACCGTCATTTCTCAAAGGTCAAACATTACAGCATGGCCCAACAATAGGGAATATGGGAACTGTTTCAAGGAGATACATAGTTTAGTACCCTCATTACTGTCATTCTCATAAGGCTATATCTAGAGGTAGCAGTTCAATCTGAAATATACTGGTGGCTAATTCAATTGTGCTGCTTCTGATCGATTTGCAAAGTATCTAGTATCGCGCACAAAGTTATGGAAGGAAAATCCCAAGATGCCGGAACTGCACACATGGAAGGAATCAGGAATTTCGGAATCCAGTGTGGGAATTCTGTCTGTCAGCTCTTCACGCTGAGTGCTCTGCTTGTAGACATCGTCCTGCTTTTCATAACTGCTTTTCAGAACTGCTTTTCAGAACGAAGTGCTCCGGTAGTCGCTCCTCCCGTCCTTTCGTACCGCTCAATGCCACTACATACTACAATCCGGCTATGAGTGCTTTCGTAATCAGACTCAGAAGTTCCAGCCGCCGTAATCTGCTTCACGCGTTGTCCGACGGAATTCCAGTGCTCACGCGCCGGCAGGGCAATCCCCGCCTTACATCTTGCAACCTGCTCGAAATCTCCGCCATTCACCTACCCATGGAAAAGTTTCACGCGTCGAGGAATATTCTGAATGCAAAATCCAACGCGGCTTCTCCTGTGGGGCTTACAGAAAGGTTTCCTGGGATTCGTACCATGCGCACCGCCGTCTACAGCAATCACTCCGTTACAAGCAGCTCCGTTACAACCACCCGCATCAGCGTCTGTAAGCCACCTCCTGCATTGTGGCTGAAACCGGTCAATAAAGCACCTGAAGGGCTTTCTCTGGTGCGGCGTTTTAAATTTGGCAACAGTTTCCTGAAGGAATTTGGGAATGGAAGAAGCATCGTTGGTTACAGTGGAAGAGGCAGCAGCGGTACCTTCGGTATCAGAGCCTTGAGTGGAAGGAGTGGTGAGAGTGGTGAGAGTTGGACGAGCAGCGAGAGCAGGAGGAGCGGTGAGATCGAGAGAGGGAGTGGGAGGGTGTACAGTAGAAATGTCAGAAATGTCAGCACTTTTACCGCTACTGGCCCTGAAAGCAGCAGTGGCAGCAGCAGCGGCGGCATTGGCAGCAGCGGCGGCATTGGGAGCAGCAGCAGCAGTGGGAGCAGCGCGAGCAACGATAGCGCCGATGCGGGAGTTACAGTAACCAACATCTTTCGTTTCAATACCGGTAAGCACTTTGTATAACAAACCCCTCCGTCAAGTTTATTTGCTATCCCACTTCATTCCATGATCCATCCTCCCTGGATCTGATTTCTTGTCGAGGCTTGTCCTGTCCTCAAGCCTTGTCCCATACCTTCCTCCCTTGTCCATTCTCCCAAGCTTTATAATCTTACAAGTGCCACACTCTCACAAGCTTCACATTCCGTCCCCTTCCCCCCATGGCCCAGCCTTCGCCTCTCAATTCGCATGTGATCGATACCTCGTCACCTGGCCTGCAAACGTCTCACACCAACCCACGCTGGGGAGCATACCGCCTAACTTCATCTCTAACCATCCCTCTTTCCCCTCCCCCCTCCCTCTCCCCCATGGCCCAGCCTTTGCCTCTCAGTTCGCCTGTGACCGCTACCTCATCGCCTGGCCTGCAAACGTCCCACACCAACCCACGCTGGGGAGCAGGCTTGCATACCGCCTAACTTCGGCCCTAAGCGTCCCGTTTGTGTACGTTCCCAGTCACAACGCGCTGCTGTGTTTGCGAAAGGCAGATTCCTCTGAGCACTTAGCTGAGAGTCAGCACTTAAGTGAGCCCCGGCTACTGGCTGAGTTGACTCCCGAGTTACAGGGAGTGGTTTCTGGACTGAAGTACTTAGGAAGGTCCTATGAGACACAGAGTGTGGCTGGTGCTGAGGTGGGTGGAGATGTAACGGCTGCTGCAGAAGGGGATGTAACAGTAGCTTCAGGAGATGTAACTGGAGCTGCAGCAGCAGATGTAACCATGGCTCGGGCAGTCACTACAGCAGCAGGAGATGTGACGGTTGCTTCAGAAAGGGACGAAAACTGGGCTGTGAGCAGTGGTGACGTGGTGAGACTGCTGTATCGCCAGGTGGAATTGGAATGCCACCTGGCTGATATGGGAGAAAGTGGTTACAGCATGGGCAGCAGCAACAATGGCAGCAGCTTATTAAATAGCAACAGTGGCATCAGCAGCAGCAGCGGCAGCAGCAGCAGCGGCAGCAGCAGCAGTAGCAGCAATAGCGCCAGCAGTAGCAGCACGGATGTGAACAAAATTCTGAAACCTGTTCCGTCCTTCTCTGCAGTTTTTTTTTTCGGGCAGCCCGCTCTCGTTATAGACATCAAAAGCAGGCACGGAGTCCCATTGAAAGAAATCCTTGCTATAAGCTCACCCAGTAAGCTACTCGACGCCCTTGTGAAAACACCCTTCCGGTCCAAAGTTGCTACATTAATAGCATGGGAGCAGTTAGGTCCGAAATCCGGGCAGCTTTTTCAATGGCTCATGCGGGTTACCTCAACGGAGGAAATTCGAAAACGTTTCGAAGAGGCTGACTCGTCGACGGTTCTTTTCGTCGCGGACGGTTTTCACTGGCTGCCCGAGTACCTGGAACTTGTCATTTGCCCGGAGAACGAGAAGTTTCTGAGAGATTTAGGGTTTGATATGGGCAGCGTGCGAATGGTAAACTCCAAATCCATCCGTTCTCCTGAATCTCGATTCGCCCAGATTCAAGATATTGCCTCTTCGCTGGGAAGTCAAAATTTCATCTGCCCGGAGCTGGTGACTGGCCCGGTTCTCAAGGCAGACGTAAACGGGCAGTCGAAAGAAGTGGGTGGAAAGCTTTTGCTGCCCGTAGATGAGTCGGTCACAGTGATTCGAAAAGCCATCCATCGACATGGGATGTACCAAACTCCAGAAAACCCCCTTCAAATAGGTCTACTGTATGTGTCTCCCCCGGGTAAATTACCCTCCTTGTACGCTGACTCGGAGCAGTTTATAAAGGAGATGATGGGTCAGCTGCGTCAGCTGGGTGTAGCTAGTGCAGAGAGGACTCAAATGCGCAAGATAGTATGGGAGCCGAGGAATAGGACCTTGGAGCAAGGGAGATCGGAGGAGGGATTGGTGGAAGCAGTGGTGAAAGAAGGAGGGTTGTTGGGAGAAGAAGGGTTGAAGCAGCAGTTTTCAAATGGTGGTGAGGAGGAGTTGAGGCGGTTTATGGTTCAAGAGGTAACCATCTTGAAAGATGCAGGGGCGGGGTTTCTTGTCCTGGTGTGTGGTTTCGGGAAAGGCATTGGGGAGCAGAGTTCGAATGCTGCTGCTGTTGTGTGGCGGGCACTGCAGTATGCGACTGGAGGGATTGAGGAGGATTTGACAAGAGAGCTGGACACAAGTATCGACAACACCAGCACCAGTTTTAGCAGCAGCACCGGCAGCAGCAGCAGCGCAAGTAGCAGCAGCAGAAGCAGCAGCAACGCATCTACCATCTCCTCCCCTCTCCCATCCCACATGCTCACTCCAACCACCTTTGCCACTCCTAGCGACTCCCGAGCCTACTTCACCTCCCTCCTCTCCTCCTCCGTGGAGAAAATCTCAGTCAAGGCCGGTGCTCTTCCCTACATTCTCTCACCCGGATTCGGCGAATACACCGACTGCGTTATCGGCATTTCAGCCCATGCTCCCTCCTCTCCTGCCCATGCTCTCTCCTCTCCTGCCCATGCCCCCTCACCTCCTGGTGACTCTTCAGGATCTTTGGATAGGGATGAGCCTTCTCCCTCGGTCCGGAAAGGGCTGGAGTGGGGTGAACCAGCAGTGATTTCGATCTTTGGGCCGAGAGGCGAGGTTCGGAGGGTTGTGCCCGTGCTTTGTCCTGTAGCGAGGGAGGCGGTACCTGCCGCGGCACTCGAAAAGGCGATAAGGGAGGAGGAGGACGTGAGGGGAGGAAGGGTGGTGGTGATGCGGCATGGGCGGTTTCAGGAGGGGGAGGTTGAGTGCGTTCGGAAGGTGTTGGGTAGGTTTGGAGCCCGGGGGACGTTTGTGGAGGTGGGGGAGAGTGGGCGGTGTAGGTTGTTTCGAGCTCTGCCTCCCTTCGCTGAGTCGATGCCGGCAGCAGCAGCAGAAGGAGCACCACCAGCAGCAGCAAAAGGAGCAGCAGTAGCAGCAGCAGCAGAAGGAGCAGCAGCAGAAGCAGCAGCAGCAGCAGCAGCAGCAGCAGAGGAAGACGTGTATTTCCCTCTTAGCAACACCAGTGCAGCCTTAGTGGCATCATCCATAGCACGCGGCATGCCTCAGCCCATCTCAGTGGAAATTCGGGAAAACGACCTGGGGTTATGTTTACAGCAGGTGGTGACGGTGGTTGCTGGGATGAGGAGGGTGCAGCATGGGGCATTGGGGAAGGCTAAGCTTCCTGGAGCGATCCACTGTGCGGACAGAAACGGTTTCCCGTGAAACACACTCTTCGAGGATTCAGGGGACATGGGGCATGCCCCAGCCCATACCAGTGTGGAGGCCCTGGGTAATGACTTGGGGTTGGCACTGCAGCTGGTGGTGATGGTGGTGGTTGAATCGGTGTTATCTTTACAGTAGGTAGTGACGGTGGTGGTGGGTATGATAGGATGAGGGTGCAGCATGGAAGCGTGGGGAAGGTGAAGCTGCCTGCCAGCCAGGGATGAATTATTAGCGTGGTTTGGTGCATCCCAGGTTATGCATGTGTAGCATCATCTTTACCCAATAGATGGTGGTACTTCAGTTATTCATTTTAATACCAGTACCATTATTTTATTTCAATCCATGAATAATATTCATTCAGATTTTTTCGTTGTGATTTCTCCTATCTAAACGTTTTTTAATTGCATATTCACGAGTATGCCAAAATATAACCAACGAGAGAAATTGTCGTGTGAAATCTCCAAATTTCGATAGAGGTTTCACTGGGTGTAACATAATAAAATCTAGCATCTGCAATTTATTTTTATGATAGGCATATGTTTCCATCCATTCTTTTAGGCTGGTACATTTCATCTGATCACCTTCTATCGAATCTCATCTTCCTCCCCTTCACCTCCCTTCCCTCTCATCACCCCTCCCTCTCTTCCCCTCCTAATCGGAGCCACCATCTCATAGCGCCTCGGCTCCCGTAGATCCTGTCGCGTGTGTCTGCACCTTGGTGTTACCGATTCATACGCTTATCGTAGTTCTCGGATTATCGGCTTAGTCCGACTTTTCGATTTCCTTTATTTGGAAACCCAAGGCCTGAAGATGGCGTACGATCGGTACACCCGCGGAACTCCGACCTTCGACGACCTAGACGATCGCGATGCGCCTTACGGCGATCCGACCGCGTCGTCCGAGAACGACGGCGTTCCCGACGTCGTTAAGACGTTCGTCGCGTTTCTCTACCGTCACATTCGCGAAAACAATGTCTACGAGATCCACCAGATGTACGAAAACAGCTTCCACAAGTTATCGCAGCGACTCTTTAGCGAATCGCCGTGGCCCACGGCGGAGGCGATCGCGCCGGTGGTGGATCACGACCACGTGTTCTGCCTGCTGTATCGCGAGCTGTACTTCCGCCACGTGTTCGCGCGGCTCCAGCCGACGTTGGAGCAGCGGTGCGAGTCCTGGGAGAACTACTGCAGCCTGTTCCAGGTAGGGGACTTCAATGCGGTTCAATGGGAATTTAGAGCGGTAATTAGGGGTTACTGTCATACTTAGACGAGTCCTGGGAGAACTACTGAAGCCTGTTCCAGGTAGGTGACATTAACGGGGGTCTAAAGTTACTGTCAATATTGTTGAGACGTGTAAAAGAAGGATAGTTACTAGTCTTGGGAGAACCACTGCGGCCAGTTCCAGGTTGGTGATATGAACAAAAACACTAACGGAATTATCGACGGGAATATTGACGGAAATTGTGACAGAACCATCTATTGTTAGTATTTCGGAGACCTTTTAGACACATTACACTTTTCACGATTCCTTGAAGAACCTCTGCAACCTGTTCCAGGTAGGCGGTACTAATGGAATGTGATTGTTCGTACTGTTGAAAAGTCCAAAGGAATATCTACTGGTACAAGGCTTGAGAGAATCACTGCAGCCTATCCTGGTAGCGAATCTCAACGAGTTTTAATGGAGATTTTAACTGTAGCGTGTTCCTTGGTTGGTGGTACTTGAGTCCCAAGAGTACAAGGAGGTTGAATGTCTAAATTGGGTTCATTGTTGTAATAATTCATGGAGCTAGAAGAAGTCAGTCAGGGATACTAGTTCGGGGATGCTAATTCAGACTTTTGAGGCGTCTCAAAAGAAGTCAGGGATACTAGTTCGGGGATGCTAATTCAGGGATGCTGATTAAGGAATGTTATTTACCTTGGTCAGCATTCAAGGTCTTCCAAACATGGCTGGGAGAGAAGTAGGCCGGATTGGTTTTTTAATCCAGTAGTTGAGGAATAGGCACCAACTGAGAGACTGAGGTGGAATTCAAGTAGGGGGAGAAGTTTCAACGAATACGAGAACGTACTTATGCTTGTTGCCTATGTTTTAGGATGACATTCGCACGAAGTGCGCCATTCGCGACATTGGGGCTTTCTCGCTAGGGTTAAGGAGGGTATACTTCGGCAGCGGCGTGTATTTTTTTGCATCCTCAAACTCCTCCGTGATTCTAATTACTTTACTCCCGTTCTAACACCCCCTCCCCCCCATCCGGCCCCCCTCTCCCCCCATCCCGCCTCCCTCCCCCTCCTCCGTGTTCTCCCCCCCCCTTTCCCCCGCTTGCCCAGGTGCTGCTGCTCGGCAATCTCAATGTTCCGGTTCTCATTCTCTCTCCCATTCTCCCACCCATCCTACTGCGCATCCCCTTCCATTCTGCTAACACCCCTCCCTTGCTCTCCGTCCCATTCTCCCCCCCATACTCCGTCCGATTCTCCCCCTCCCATATCCCCTCCCATTCTCCCACCATTCCCCGCTTATATCCCCTCCCATCCCGACCATTTAAACCCAATCTCAATGTCCTGGTTCCCATGCTTCCTAACCTCCTCCTCCTCGTTCCCCCTCCCCTCTCGACCGTTTAAACCCTGTCCCCCGGCGCGCGCAGGTGGTGCTGCTGGGCAATCTGAACGTGCAGCTGCCCAACGCGTGGCTGTGGGACATGGTGGACGAGTTCATCTACCAGTTCCAGTCCTTCTGCCCACCGTCTAAACCCTGAACTCTCCCTCCCGTCCAAACCCTCCCTCCTGACCGTTTAAACCCTGTCCCCCAGGTGGTGCTGCTGGGCAATCTGAACGTGCAGCTGCCCAACGCGTGGCTGTGGGACATGGTGGACGAGTTCATCTACCAGTTCCAGTCCTTTTGCCACTTCCGGGCAAGAGTGAAGAGCCGCACGGACGAGGAGAACGCAGCACTCAAGCAGTGCGGCAATGTGAGTGCTCTGACTGATAGGGCGTGCTGGTAGGGTGAAAAGAGGGCTGGTAAGGCGCTAAGTGGAGTGCTAGGGTGAAAAGAGGCGTGGTAGGGGGTGAGCGTCAAGAGCCGCACGGACTAGGAGAATGCAGCACTCAAGCAGTGCGGCAATGTGAGTGCGAGTGGTGAAGGGATGGGTAACAGGCAGAGCACAGGTAGGAAAGGTAGTGGTGGGGTGAAGCGGGGCGCGTCAAGAGCCGCACAGACTAGGAGAATGCGGCGCTCAAGCAGTGCGGCAATGTGAGTGCGAGCGAGCTGTGAACGGATGGGTGGATTTCGGTTAGGAAGGGCTGGGTAGGGTAATGAGTTGAGAGCTGCATGGACGAGGAGACTGCAGTGCTCAAGTAGTGCCTCCTCCCGCCTCCCCTCTTTCTTCCCCCCACCCCCCTCCACTTCCAGGTGTGGAACGTGTATGGAGTGCTCAACTACCTGCACGCCCTCGTGGCCAAGTCCAACATCCTCGATATTCTGGACGACGATTCAAGCCCAGTCTCTTCCCTCACCTGCCCGCCTTCTCCTGTCTCCATCGCAACCCTTCCCCTCAGGTGTGGAACGTGTACGGGGTTCTGAACTACCTCCATGCCCTTGTAGCCAAGTCCAACATCCTGGCGATTCTGGACGACGATTCAGACGGAGGAGCAGCGGCCATGTTCCTGGCGACGGAGGGGTATGACATGACCGCTCTTCCCCGTTCCCCCCTTCCGTTCCTCCTTCCCTCTTCCCCTTCCTGCCTCCTCCCTTCCCCTCAGGTGTGGAACGTGTACGGTGTCCTGAACTACCTGCACGCCCTGGTGGCCAAGTCCAACATCCTCGCCATCCTGGATGATGACTTTCTGTCCCTTCTCCGCTTGCCTCCTTCCTCCTGATTCCTCCCCCTCCCCAGGTGTGGAATGTCTATGGTGTCCTGAACTACCTCCATGCGCTCGTGGCGAAATCCAACATTCTCGCAATTCTCGACGACGATTCGGATGGAGGAGCAGCGGCCATGTTCCTGGCCACGGAGGGGTATGACATGACCGGCGCGGGGGGCAGCAACGTGGAGCGAGTGTTGGGGTACCTGTCGCTGGTGGGGCTGCTGCGCGTGCACTGCCTGCTGGGGGATTACCACACTGGCCTGGTGAAGCTGTCTCCCATTGATGTGGGCCGGCCGGGCGTGTTCCAGCGAATCACGGGCTGCCACATCACCGCCATGTACTACTACGGCTTTGCCAGCCTTATGCTGCGCAGGTGGGTGGTGCGGTGGGTTGGGTTGGGTTGGGTTGGGTGGGGTGGGGTGGGGTGGGGTGGGGTGGGGGATGGGTGAGGCAGGGGCAAAACAGGGGGCTGCCACATCACCGCCTATGGATTCGCAAGCCTGATGCTGCGCAGGTGGTGGGTACCTGAGGGGTTGTTACTGGGCTGCTTTGCTGGGGAAGCGGAAGATGGGGAAAGCATGGGACTGCCACATCACCGCCATGCACTACTACGGATTCGCAAGCCTGATGCTGCGCAGGTGGGTCGTTTACTGGCTATAGGTGGCCTTTTCAAGGCCAAGCAGTACCACGAGTCGCTGCCGCAATACCACCAGATCCCTTATACACACACACACCCAAATCATAAACACTCACTTTCCCCTCCCCTCCCTTCCAGGTACGTGGATGCCATAAGGGCTTCCAACCAGGTCCTCCTGACGCTCTCCCTTATACACACACACACACACACACACACACACACACACACACACACACACACACACACACACACCCATATACACCCATGCAGGTACGTGGACGCTATCAGGGCATTCAATCAGGTGCCCCTGACGCTCGCCAAGGCGAAGCAGTACCACGAGTCGCTCCCCCAATACCAACAGATTCTCTTATCCACACACCCATATACACTTGCCCTTCTCCTCCCTCTCCTCCCCCCCAGGTACGTGGATGCTATCAGGGCATTCAACCAGGTGCTCCTGACGCTCATATACACCCATATACGCACCCATATAAACCCTCACACACCCGTGCAGGTACGTGGACGCCATAAGGGCATTCAACCAGGTGCTGCTGACGCTCGCCAAGGCGAAGCAGTACCACGAGTCGCTCCCGCAATACGACCAGATCCTGAAAAAGACCGAGCAGATGTTCGCACTTCTCGCCATCTGCCTCTCGCTCTGCCCGAACGGGAAGCTTCTGGAGGAGAGCGTCAACGGGCAGCTGCGCGAAAAGTTTTCGGACAAGATCCAGCGGATGCAGCGCGGCGACGAGGCGGTTTTCGATGAGCTGTTTTCGTTCGCCTGCCCGAAGTTTGTCACGCCTGCCCCTCCGGTGGAGGACGGTGGGGAGCTGGTGAATTACAACCAGGTATGCAAAGAGGGGCAGGTTGGGACCAACCAAGTACTTGTTGTAGCTTCCTAAATGAACTCTTTTCACCTCTTTTTCACGCCAAAAAACATCCATCTTGTTGAAGCTTCCTGGGTTTGTCACGCCTGCCCCTCCGGTGGAGGATGGTGGAGCACACACGCCTCTTCTGCATTCTGCTGCCCTTCTTCGTTCGTAACCAGTGCCCACCCCACCCAAACCCCCAACAACCACCCTTCCCCCCCCCCCGCCCACCAGGACGCCTACCGCCTGCAGCTGAAGCTGTTCCTGGCGGACGTGCGCCCCCAGCTCGCCCTCTCAGGGCTGCTGTTGATGTTTCCTTACCTCTCATCCCACCCCACCCCACTCCACCCCTCTGCACTCCACCGTGCTCCCCATCGCAGGACGCCTACCGCCTGCAGCTGAAGCTCTTTCTCGCGGACGTGCGCTCTCAGCTCGCCCTGCCAGGGCTGCGATCCGCCCTCTCTCTCTACTCCGCCATCTCCACTCCATCACCCCCTCGTCCCTCCTATTGATCTCAACCCCCCACTATCAGGATGCCTACCGCCTGCAGCTGAAGCTCTTCCTGGCTGACGTGCGCTCCCAGCTCGCCCTCCCAGGACTGCTGTTGCTACGTCCTTATACCCACACCCCACTGTACTCCACCCCACTCCTCCCCACACCAACCCAACCCACTGTTACCCATCAGGACGCCTACCGCCTGCAGCTGAAGCTCTTCCTGGCTGACGTGCGCTCCCAGCTCGCCCTCCCTCCCAGGACTGCTGTGGATGCTTACTTAACCCCCCCCCCCCCCCCACCCCACCCAAATATCCGCACATCAGGACGCCTACCGTCTGCAGCTGAAGCTGTTTCTTGCCGACGTGCGCCCCCAGCTCGCCCTGCCAGGGCTGCTGTTGCTGCTTCCTTCCCTCTCATCCCACTCCACCCCACCCCACCCCACTGTAACCCACTCCACCTTCCTCTATCAGGACGCCTACCGCCTGCAGCTGAAGCTGTTCTTGGCTGACGTGCGCTCCCAGCTCGCCCTGCCAGGGCTGCGATCCGCTCTCTCTCTCTACTCCGCCATCTCCCTGCCCCGCCTCTCCACCTTCCTGGATGTTTCCGAGACCACCCTCAGGTGAAGCGTCAGGTGGTTTTTCAGGTGCCATGTCAGGTGACAGACACTGGAAGCTTTTTATGTCAGGTGCAGTTTCAGGTGAAATAGCAGTTGTTTGTTCAGGTGAGTCTGGAATGCGTTTCCAGAACTTCTTCCAGCCCCGCCCTGTGTCATAAGAACAGTACAGTGGTGGTGGAGTGCATGGATCGGTGCTGCCCAATGCTCTCATTGTTCTAATTGGTTTCCCCACTCTGCACCACCCTTCACACCTTTGCACCACCCATCACACCACTATGCAGGACTGCGCTGATCACCCTTCGTCACAAGAACACCGTTGTGGAGGGGGATGGCTCGGTGCTCCCCAATGCTGAGCTGGACTTCTACATTGATGATGTAAGCATGGCATGGATTTTGGAATTCTTTTACACACGACACTCCCCCTCCTTTTCCCCCACTCCCCACCTTCTGACTTTTCTCTTTCTCCTCCCAATTCTTGAATCAACGTACAAAAGTCAACTAATGAAATCAGTTCACGTGGTTGACCTTCAAACCTTGAGTCCCCAATACACTCTCCCCCCTCTCCCACCTCACCTCTCCTCCCTCTCCCCATCCCCAACGTTGGCAATCTGTCCTCTCTCTCGGGACCCAATACCAGTGGCTGACCATGAAACCACATGTTCCCAATACACTCCCTCCACCTCCCCCTTCCCGGAATGCCTCCCTGTGACTTTCTCTCGCAGGACTTGGTCCAGGTGGTTGATCGCAAGACCACGAGGCGGTTTGGGGACTATTTCATCAAGCACATTCTCAAGGTAAGGTTGTGATTGTATTGAAGTGAAGTAACGGGGCGAGGTGACTCCAAGTCAAGTCAAACGGTTTGGGGACTATTCCATCAAGCACCTTTTGCAAGCTTACTGAGGTGATGTGAGCCATGTATAGTGGATTTTTTCTTGGTGGTGGTTGTGTTGTGTGTATGCACGGTTGGATGTTTAACTGCTTCTTGAATCAACCATCCTTTTATTTGTTTTCATTGCTTTGTGTCTCTGTTTTTTTTTGTGTCCAGTTTGATGAGCTTGCAGGGCAGCTTGAGAACGTTCAGCTAGTAGTGTAAACCAGATGAAACGTGTAACAGACATTCGTGTAGGCCATGCAAGGAAACGGGGATTTTTTTTTTTCCAAAAATAGATCAGAAAAAGGGGAGGGTGGGGTTTCACAGGGGTTAAAAGTGGAAGCATTTTCTGTTGTACACTTCATTGCGTTACTTTATACATCCACTAACAATTTCATGGCAACCTGGAGATAGAGCAGCTATCAAGTTTGCATATACCATGCCTAGTGTTACCAGCTACTCTGTGCTCAGTGTAGCGTGCATGTCTTTTGGAGGTGTGGAACCAACTCAGCAGCTTGCTCACAATTAACAATCTGAATTGGCTAAAAGAATCATATTTGAGGCTGCTTGCGCATAAGTAATGAAAAGTTGAGTACGCTTTTACTCGTTGCATCTGGCAAAAATCCTAGTACGAGTACGGATTCGGGTAGGGTCCTCATTTCTGAATTGTAGAACCTGGCAGCAGAAATTGTATAAATGTATAAGGATCTCTGTATAAAGAGGACAGGTGGTGCGCCACCATGAACTATCACCCTTCACCCCCAACCCCGTTTACCCCCACCCCACCCGCTCCCTCGGTCTCAGCCTTCATTCTCCCAAATCCCGCCAACCTCGAGAACCCCGTGTTCCCCCTCAGTTCCCCAAACATTTCCCAACCCCACTCATCGCCGCCTTCTTCCCCACCCCCCGCATCCCCCACTCCCCCCACCTTCCCCACCCTCCCCCCCAACTTGTTTTGTCCCCTTCACCTTTCTGTCCGCTCCCCGCCTGCTCGCTCCTGCCTCTCCGCCTCCTCCCGTATTTGCCTCCTAGCTGCTCCTAACTTCGCCTCTTTTCCCTTAGTCTGCACAGCACTGGACTAATTCCTCCGTCCTCCCTCCTCCCCTTCCCCGTGGATAGTCGCTCCACCTAAAATCAGCCAAAATGGTTCGTTGCCGATCCTTGCCGTCCCGGAGTGTAATATCGAAATTATTGTTGAGATTAAATCAATGGCACGGGAAAAATCCGTTGGGGTGTTCTGGACTATTATTAGGGTTTCCTAAGAAGTTCGTTCGCGGTTGAGTTTCTTACGAGCATTGCTGCAAATTCGACCTCCTCTTCTGGGTTCCACTCTCATCAGCACTGACGATTTGTTTGGATCGCCATTATTTATTGTCAGATTCGTCATCCGTGTCGCTTACTTCGTGTTTTTTCACCAACACTGACCCTACGTTAAAGGCTTCAATGTGGCCTTTTGTTCTCCTTGATTCGACCAGCCGTTCCGGAGATACATGGAGGTGGGCCGGGTGTGCATGGTCAACTTCGGCCCCATGTACGGCAAGCTCGTCGTCGTCGTCGATATCATCGACCAAAACAGGGTGAGTAGCAGCCGTTGACCGCGTTGACCCCGTTGACCGACAAGTATGAGGCACCTCATGTACGGCAAGCTCGTCGTCGTCGTCGATATCATCGACCAAAACAGGGTGAGCAGGAGCCGTTGCCCGCGTTGACCCCGTTGACCAACAAGTATGAGGCACCTCATGTACGGCAAGCTCGTCGTCGTCGTCGATATCATCGACCAAAACAGGGTGAGCTGGAGCCGTTGACCCCTTTGACCGCGTTGACCCCGTTGATCGACAAGTATGAGGCTCCATGTACGGCAAGCTCGTCGGCGTCTTAGATATATTAAGAAACACGGACTGTTGCAAGGGAGTTAGAGGAGGCGAGGGGCGAAGGGAGCTGGCGGCATACCCGTTAGTGAACCACTGCGGCGCAGGATATGGAAGCGGTGCATAGTGCAGGAACGTAGGTGAGAGGGTGTGTTAGGTCACGCGATTCTGGTGCAGCGGACGCGAACGACGCGACTTTTAGTCGGTTCTAGAAGAGCGGCTAAGCAAGCGGTGGATAGTCTGTACATCAGGAGGGAGAGTGTATTGCGTCACTGCGGATCTGGTGCACGACGACTCGAACGGCGTTTCTTCGGGGCTTATTAGAAAGAGGTTATACGAACGGCGGATAGGCGGTGCATCAGGAGGGAGGGTGTATTGCGTCCGAATCTGCTGCAGCAGACGCGAACGACGTGACTATGAGTTGATTCGAAAAGAGTGTAAGCGAAAATGGGGCTACGCGAATGGTGAATAGTTTGTGCGTTAGGATAGAGGGTGAATTAGGTCACCGCAGCAATTCTAGTGCAGCTGAATGAAACCACTTCCAGCGGCTTCGGCAGATATCAGCAGGCGCGTTGACAGCGTAGATAAGCAGGCGTGTCTAAAGCAGGCGTGTAACGGGCAGGCTTAAACAGGCATTTTCACAGCAGCAGGGGAGGAACCATTTTATGGTGATGTTGCACCATAGCTTATCCGTTGACCATTTTTAGGGATTTTCTTATATCCAGGAATCACCAGCGGTCAGGGTCATGACAGTACTGCGCAACACAGGCGTTCAATTAGGGTGTCATCTATTCCTCTGCGTAGGTGCCGTCTTGTTCACGCAAATTAGGGTTTTCAGCGATTCACACTGACTAGGGTTTCAACAGTCCCCGTCGACTAGGGTTTCGACAATTCCCGTCGGTCAGGGTTTCAGCCACTTGTATCGGAGTCACGGTGCGGTTGCCGCAGAGAATCTCGTGTTAAGTGAGGAAAGGGTTGAGGCTTAGCTAGTTTTTTTTTTCGAGGCGCCTTTAATTTCGAGGCCGCAATACCGTTTTTTCTTACCGTCTGCGCTTTCTCGGCAAGGAACCCGCCGTGGCGTGACCTATTTCTTTGTTCTGTTGGCGTATAGTTTGAAGAACTGGTGGTCGGCACGGAGCGTCAGCAGATGGACTACACGCGCCCTTGCTTACATTCTTAACCAGGCCTAACCCCATCCCCTCCTCCCATCCCCCGTTCCCCCTGCTCCCTTCCCCCGTGCGCCCTGTTCCCCGTTCCCCGTGCGTCCCCCTTTCTCCTTGTCCGCGGTATATCAGGCCCTGATTGACTTCACGGGCATGGAGCGCCAGCAGATTAACTACAAGCGTCTCTCGCTCACGGACATCACCATCGACATTCCCAAGGCCGCCTCGAAGAAGGAGCTGCGCGCCGCCATCGAGGCCGGTGGTGAGTGATGCTGCACGGTTTCTGTGGGTTGAATGCGGTAGTAGGGTTTGATAGGGTTGAGTGTTTTTCTCCTGTATGTGCCAGATTAGGGTTTGATTTCGCTGACAAACATCACCATCGACATTCCCAAGGCCGCCTCGAAGAAGGAGCTGCGCGCCGCCATCAAAGCCGGTGGTGAGTGGTGGTGGGCGGTTTCTGTCGGTTGAATGCGGTTCTGCATTAGGGTTGGTTTGTCGCTGACGGACATCACCATCGACATTCCCAAGGCCGCCTCGGAGAAAGCGCTTCGTTACGCCATCGAAGCCGGTGGTGAGGGAATTAGGGTTTCAAAATTTGCAGCTTGTGTTCATTTGGGATGGGGTTGAGCGAACTAGGGTTTAGCTTTCCTTAAATGAGGCTGCCTCGTGAATCTCTCTCCGGTCGAATGGCCCTCTTAACCCCCTTCCCATCCCCTCTCACCCTTCCCACTTCCCCTCTTTCCGCCCTCTTTCTTTTCCCGCGTTCCCTCTTTCTTTCTTCCTCCCAGCCCCCCACTCTCTCTCGCGCAAGCATGGCTCCCAAATGATGAAACACTATTCACAAAAGTTTCAGCCTTGTCGTATGCGAGAGCATGCCTCTCGTGCTGCCGATTTTCATACGGCTGATGGGATGTCAGCTCTCTCTTCCGAATCCCCCATTCCCCCTCTCTCTTTCCGCCCCCCTCCTTTCCCCCCTTCCCCCCCCCCTTTCCCCCCCTCTACCCGTCTTCCCCTGGTTTCGTATTCTCTCTCCTCTCTTCCCTCCCGCCTCCCCTCCCGCCCTCATGGCTCCCATATGATGAAACATTATTCACAAAAGTTTCAGCCTTGTCGTATGCGAGAGCATTCCTCTCGTGCTGCCGATTCTCGTATGGCTGATGGGATGTCGGTCGCTGACTTCACCACCCCCCATCACCCATTCCCCCTCGTTCTCATCCGCCTCTCCCCCACGCCCCCATTTCCTCTTCCCCTTCTTGCTTACTATCCCCGGATCCCTCCCTTCCGTTAGCATGGCTCCCATATGATGAAACACTATTCACAAAAGTTTCAGCCTTGTCGTATGCGAGAGCATTCCTCTCGTGCTGCCGATTCTCGTTTAGCTGATGGGATGTCAGTCTCTCTTCCCCCCCCTTCCCCCCCCCCCCCTTCCCGCCCTCCCCTCCCCCCCCCCCTCGTCCCCCGCCCACTTCCCCTTCTCTCTCTCGCATTTCAGCCCTGCTCTCTCTCCCCTTCCCTACCAATTCGTAATGGCTTGTCACGTTCGCCAAAACAGATGTGCAGAGCAAGTGGGAGGCGAGCTCGTGGGGAAGGAGGCTGTTTTTGAGAATTCTCAAACATACCCTCGTGGGGGAGGAAGTTGTTGATCCAGAAGAAGCAGCTACTGATCCAATACCCCCTTCCATTCCATCCCCCCACCTGCCCCTACTCCCACCACCACCCATTTCTCTAACCCCACATCGCCATGCTTGTTCCAACAGAGGTGCAGAGCAAGTGGGAGGCGAGCTCGTGGGGGAGGAAGCTGTTGATCCAGAAGAAGCTGGCAGCTCTAACCCATGCCTTGGATCCCTCCTCCCTCCCAACCCCCTTCGCCCCCACTTGCCGCCATGCTCCCCCATTCCCCGTGTTACTGTCACAACAGAGGTGCAGAGCAAGTGGGAGGCGAGCTCGTGGGGGAGGAAGCTGTTGATCCAGAAGAAGCGGGCGGCTCTAACCGACTTCGAGCGTTTCAAGATTGCCGCCGCCCGCTCACAGGTACTGTTCATGCACTGTAGATGTTTGTGAGTTACTGTTTAAACTAGGTACCAAGTTGATACTGCTGGTTTATTGAAGGCTCACTGCCATTACGCCTTTTGCTGTGTTTGTTTTGAAGAGTCGCCCTTCCCCCCCTTCCCTCTCCCCTTCTCCCCCTCCCCGGCCGCCCTCCTCCCTTTCCACTCTTTCCCCCAAGCACCCTTGTGCCTTTCACTCTTGCTGGTTACTATATATATAAATATATATGTTTAATTTAAGGTAGTGAAGATAGAAACATTGATTCACCCCCGCCCCCCACTCCTCTCCACCCTTCCTCCCCCTTGGATTTTGTTTGCATGATTGTCCGTGGTTGCAATCTGCAGAAAGCCAAGGCTGTCAAGAAGGCCCTTGCTTGAAGATAATTGGTTGGGAGGATGTAACACACGAGTGGAGGATCAACGCTTCATGGTTACCACCTGTCCTGCCGTATGGCCTCCCTCAGTCTCACCTGCTGGTGATTTCCTGATTCAATTTTCATGTGTAGGGATGAAGTTGGCACGGGCAGTTGCTTGAATGTATTTGATGGTGAAAGAAAGAATAATTCCAATACGCATTGGTGCCGAAACAAAGATCGTGGAAACTACGCCATTGTCGCTAGGGATGCCAGAAGTGTGCTGTCACTGACGCCAAGAAGTGCAATTCCGGATCACTATGTTTTGTAACAGATATACGTTGGAACTGGAGTGCCCGTTTTATTCGATGTAAGTGAGTATATCTACAGTGAGTGTAGCAGATATATGTTGGAACCGGAGTGCCCGTTTTATTCATGATGTCATCCTTTCGGATTTCCAGGCTGTGTGAAAGTTCCTGGATGAGTGCGCAATGTGCGCTGTAAGGGGATCACTGTACAGTGTTTGCCGATTGTCGGCTCTGTTTGACATGTCCAACTACAGATTACTGTAGCAGGGGAATTTGCAGGTTTGAACGGGCCAACCGCTTGCAGGGGGCTCGAAAATGACAACGTGATTAGCTAATGTCCAGCTGTCAAGCTTCAAGCCAGCCTCACATTGGCTCTGCGTTCTGCCAGGATCCTGCGTCGCAACCGACGAATTGAAGTGTGGCTGGATGGTGTCTGTTGGAGAGGACATGTTCTCCGTCTCAACACCGCGTCTCGCGCAGGAGGGCGTACCGCCCGCTTCATTGTACAGTACTTCTTTACAGAATATTTTCATTCGAAATGTTTTATTCCTACTGAAAATCATATGCGTATTGGGCAATGATATTCCTTTCCTACACCGGGTCGGTCACTCTGGCCCGTGGCTCCCATGGGTGTCGTGTATTACTGGATCTTATAAGCCAGGAAAACGACTTTCCGTTTCGACTTGGAAAAAGGACCTTCGTTTCCCGCCTCGGCGCGGACCCGTTCAGCCCCAGAGGCATGTGTACTGTACACTTTTGGCACCTGCACTGTACGGACCGCCGACAGACCTAAGGAGGCGAGTTGCATGGCATTGGGTGCGCGTTGTGTGGGTGGGGGAGGGGACTTACCTGACCACAAGGAAATGCTGTCAAGTCACGCGTGCAGTAATGCTGATGAATCATTTTTCCACCGCCGCTGCTTGAAGATGAGAACGACCGCACGACTCGCAGCGATTGGTCAACTGAATTCTGGCGGGCACGTCACTTCGAACGAGAGGCACTTGTTCCTCGATGAATTCAATGCAACCTCCACCACTCGTACAGAACGCAAATTTTATTGATAAGAAAGGAAAAATAGAGAACGAACATGTGGCTTCAAACTCATCGCTTATTGATTTCAGCGCCTGTACAAGGCTCATTCTGGTCAAAGTCCACACGATTATTTTAACTTAGCATTCCGAGGTGCAACAGAAACGCTCACCAAGGCAAACCGCGTTTGCTGACAAACAAAATGAGCAATCCCTTTCGTTGCCAACGTAGCATTCTCTCTCCCTAATTCCCGTTTTTTCTCAGCTCGTAGCCGTTCAACCCTAGACGCGTCAAGCTCGCCTCGGAGGAGCAGTGGTAGGCTTGCTCTGCTGGCAAAACTCGTCAGGTCCTTGCGAGAGTAAACTTGTCCATTCAGGAAATTAATGTACCATGGTCCTGTCTGGGAGTTTCAATCACCCCCAATTTTCCATTATTCGCCTGATCAACAAAGGAACCTTCAACCTCGCCCGTCGTTGTTCAAAGCCTGTCCCAGCAACTCCTAGCGCGGAAAATTTGAAATATAACAGCCTGATCAGACGACCTATTACTACTACTATCTGTCAATTTCACGTCTCACCTAGTAGTAATGCGGCAGGATCAGCTCGCTCAAAAATAATCCAGCGATCACAAATAACATTCTTGAATAACGAGCACCCATCGCCACAGCCTTCCATTCCGGGTAAGGATTGAGCAACGGTGTGCAAAAATTTCCCTCTTTTTTTCGTTATTCTTTTGATCGGGACAATGCGTCGTTGTATGTGCAACGAAGACCTGTCAGCAACAAAAAACCAATATCATTGGGAAAAAATAAAGAGCAAAAAGTAACCGAAATATCATATTTACATGACTTGCAAAATAAACGAGATCGCCTATTTCCCTAGTAGTAGTAGGAAATGTTTTCCATTATAGAAAAACCTAGTGAAACAGATCTGCTCATTATTACTACTATGATCTGATTGTCTCCACTTTCAGCTTGAATCTGAAATTCTTGAAGAATTTCCCGCTTTTGTTTTTACCCTGGCCCCCTGCTCCCCTCCCTCCTTGGTAAACCCCTTCGACTCGCCGCCTTAATTCTCATCATCCAAACCCCCAGCACCCTGCTCTCCCCTCTCTCATCGCCCTCCCCCACCCACCCTTTCTCCCCTTCCCCCTCTTTCTCCCCACACACCCCATTCCCATTTTCTCCCCACTCCTCCCCCTCATCCCTCCCCGCCAACCCCAAGTCTCATGTCCAAATCCGCACCGTGTCTCTACCCTCAACATCCTCCCTTTTTGAGGCACCAAGAGTTGTCTCATGGCTTCCCTCCTCCCCCGTTCCCCTCCCCCCCGTTCCCCTCCTCCCCCGTTCCCCTCCTCCCCCGTTCCCCTCCTCCCCCGTTCCCCTCCTCCCCCGTTCCCCTCCTCCCCCGTTCCCTCCTCCCCCCGTTCCCCTCCTCCCCCGTTCCCCTCCTCCCCCGTTCCCCTCCTCCCCCGTTCCCTCCTCCCCCGTTCCCCTCCTCCCCCGTTCCCCTCCTCCCCCGTTCCCCTCCTCCCCGTTCCCCTCCCCCCGTTCCCCTCCTCCCCCGTTCCCCTCCTCCCCCGTTCCCCTCCTCCCCCGTTCCCCTCCTCCCCCGTTCCCCTCCTCCCCCGTTCCCCTCCTCCCCCGTTCCCCTCCTCCCCCGTTCCCCTCCTCCCCCGTTCCCCTCCTCCCCCGTTCCCCTCCTCCCCCCTTTCCCTCCTCCCAATTGTCAGGACCAGATCCGCACCGTGTCGCTACCACACTCAACATTCCTCTCCTTCGCCCTGTCATTCAACCCCAGTGAAAGTATTTAGAGACGTCTCAAAAGCCCTCATTTCTCGGCCGCCCCTCCCCCCCCAACCTTCCCCCTTTCTCCCTCCATTCCTCTCCCATGTCCAGATTCGCACCGTCACGGTATCTCTACCACCACAGTCAACATCCCCGCCCGTGCCGCGTCAACAATCGTCAGGGCCAGCTCAGACCAAGACCCGCAGAAAACATCTGGCTCCTTCACCCCCGAACCAGTCTCTGTCGGGCAGTCTAGAAAAGTTTCTGAGCTGACCAGTGCGGGCAGACAAGGGGCAACTGCCACCACCATGGCGAATGATGGGGGTTCTGGCGCGTTCTGGAAGCGTGCTAAGGAAATAAAGGCCCCTGTGTAAGTCCTGGTCGTAGTATAGTAATGACACCTACAGAAGTAAAGGCTCCCATGTATGTTCTGCGCATAGTGTGCATTTCTTCCGAGAAGAATGGTGGGAGCTCTGGCGCGTTTTGAAAGCGTGCTAAGGAAATAGAGGCTCCCGTGTAAGTCTCCTTCATAGTGTGCAGTGCATCCCTTCAGAGGCGAATGATGGGGGTTCTAGTGTGCAAGATTGATGGGGGTCTTGGAAGCTTGCTGAAGAAATAAAGGCTCCCGTGTAAGTGGTTCTGCCCTCCTTCTCTCCCTCCCATCGTATCCCTTTTCCTCGCTCCGCCCTCTCTCCCCTTCTCTCTTGCTCATCCTCTCCTCCTCCCTATTCCCCTTGCTCTTCTCCCCCCACCACCCTCTCCATCTCCCCCTCATCTCCCTCTCCCCTCTTCCCTCCGCCCTCTCCCCTCCCCCTCTCTCTCACCCTCCCCTCCCCCTCCCCCTCCCCCTCCCCCTCCCCCTCCCCCTCCCCCTCCCCCTCCCCCTCCCCCTCCCCCTCCCCCTCCCCCTCCCCCTCCCCCTCCCCCTCCCCCTCCCCCTCTCCTCCCCCTCCCCTTTCCCCTCCCTTCCCCCTCCCCCTCCCCCTCCTCCTGCCCCTCCCCCTGTTCCTCCCCCTGCTCTTCCCCCTATCAGGTGCGCCAGGGTGCCGTTCTCCTTCCCCCCGCTGTTCGGGGATGTGCGGGACGACCCCCACCACTGGCTCAGAGACGAGAGGCGCGAAGAGAACACAACTGCGCACTGTGACTCCCCTCTCTGCCTCAGCTTCTCCTCCCCCTCCCCTTCCGCCCCCCACTCCCCCTCCGCTCCTCAGTTGCGCCAAGGTGCCCTTTTCCTCCCGCCCGATATTTGGGGACGTGCGGGAGGACCCCCACCCACAGCTCTCCCCTTCCCCCTTCCCCTTCCCTTTCCCCCACCAGTTGCGCCAAGGTCCCCTTCTCCTTTCCCCCAATATTCCGGGACGTGCGGAACGACCCCCACCACTGCCTGAGAGACTAGAGGCGCGAGAATAACACATATGCGCAAACCCCCACAACCCCTCCGCCCTCCAGGTGCGCCAGGGTGCCCTTCTCCTTCCCCCCGATGTTTGGAGACGTGCGGGACGACCCCCACCACTGGTCCTGTAACAACCCTCTTCCCTCCCCATTCCGGCTCCCCTGTTCCTTCCTTCCCCATCAGGTGCGCCAAGGTGCCATTCTCCCTCCCCCCCATGTTCGGAGATGAACGGGACGACCCCCACCACCGGCTCAGGTCAGGGACGAGAGGCGCGAGAATAACACATATGCGCAAACCCCCACACCCCCTCCGCCCCCCAGTTCCGCCAAGGTGCCATTCTCCTCCCCCCCCATGTTCGGGGACGAACGGGACGACCCCCACCACTGGCTGCGGGATGAGAGGCGAGAAAATCCGGAAATCCTGGCGCATTTGGCGGCAGAAAACGCGTACACCGACGCCCTGCTGCCTCTATGTGATGCTGGGAACCCAAGCACGTGCACTGATGATGA